GAACAATTTTCTCAGCTTTAACGGATCACAATAGTTAATCTGCAGATTAGCTAGGTAATGTACACATTAACGGATTTCGAGCTTTAGCGGTAACACATACATTAATGGAGCACCGTCAAGAGCAAGCTTTGTGGTTGGTCTTATGTTTGTTCCATCAGGTAAAGTATTGTTGGTATTTGCACAGTTGATGCACATGGTTCCTCACTATACACTCTATTATCCATACAGCACTAGTGTTTTTCTATACATTTACTAACTAACTGGCTGTAACCACAGTATATTTCTCTGACCTGCTGTTACAAATTGTCATCAACATTAATTGTCACCCATTGCACACTCGCGTGTTGTTGAATCAGCATGTTAGTTAAACTGGAATTAATTTGTAAAACAACATCCATTCTAGAAGTGTCTGATGGGTTGCAATTGATTTTATTAAGAATGTAACAGTTTTCAAGAATTTAGAGAATTTTGTAGTGTTAATTGCTGTATTCTAATGGTAGAATTCCTAAATGCAGAGTACCTAATATCTATTTTACCTTTTAGTGTTGAACACAAAGGGTGACAGTGAAGTTACAACTGAATGCAAAGACTTATCAAACCAAGTCAGCTAAGGATGTCTGCTATCGTCCATGAGTGCCTGTCTAATCACAGTTTGAGAAAAACTTTTTTCCTTTGGGTAGATCATCAACCAACCTGCTCAGAAACTTGCTCTTTTAATTAACTAATACTACCTGAAAGACACATTAAATAAGCTAATCGGTGATGCATTGCATCACCGATTAGCTTATTTAATGTGTCAACGTCACTTTCAGAGCAGAGGGAAAGGAAACAGATAGTTTATTTAGTCTGGAATGAATTTATTTATTTACAGTACCCTGTTTAATATGTATGTAAATGTTTGAAAGTTTAACTGATGAACAAAGTTCATTGTGAGTGGGGTTGTATTTTTATGTAGCAGTATTTAACTCAAATATATTCATGTTCAAAGATTGGTAAGCATTTTGTACCTCGAACCTCTGCATGATCAGAAAGAATTTAATAAAAAGAAGTTTACGAAAATAAATTATTTTTGGTTATTGACTCACCACGTCGGCCAAGTGAAGCAACATCCGCATAAATCTTGCCAGGTGCATCTGTCGTGCCGACAGTTCTCCTCTTCCGGAATAGTCCGTTCTGTACAGAGCGGTCGCACTGTCGACTATTAGTAGTGCGTATCTGAATAAAATAAAACAGCATTGATTAACTTAAAACTGACATTGAATTTGGCAACGTCCATCTACTTACCTAGATTCCACCATCATAGCAGAAGCCTGTAGAAGTAACTGACTCTGATGATCACTGTTGTAGGCACGCGCATAGGCAACGTTGTCCAAAACGTCCCCACCAGATAATCCATACCTGAGAATAATTTTACGTACATTTTTTATCGTCGAGGAAAATAAAATCAAAGTCCAATGATCAAATGAACGCGGAAATACCTGTCAGCCACGGCTAGTAAACGCTCCNTAATATCTATCCTACCTTTTAGTGTTGAACACAAAGGGTGACAGTGAAGATACAACTGAATGCAAAGACTTATCAAACCAAGTCAGCTAAGGATGTCTGCTATCGTCCATGAGTGCCTGTCTAATCACAGTTTGAGAAAAACTTTTTTCCTTTGGGTAGATCATCAACCAACCTGCTCAGAAACTTGCTCTTTTAATTAACTAATACTACCTGAAAGACACATTAAATAAGCTAATCGGTGATGCATTGCATCACCGATTAGCTTATTTAATGTGTCAACGTCACTTTCAGAGCAGAGGGAAAGGAAACAGATAGTTTATTTAGTCTGGAATGAATTTATTTATTTACAGTACCCTGTTTAATATGTATGTAAATGTTTGAAAGTTTAACTGATGAACAAAGTTCATTGTGAGTGGGGTTGTATTTTTATGTAGCAGTATTTAACTCAAATATATTCATGTTCAAAGATTGGTAAGCATTTTGTACCTCGAACCTCTGCATGATCAGAAAGAATTTAATAAAAAGAAGTTTACGAAAATAAATTATTTTTGGTTATTGACTCACCACGTCGGCCAAGTGAAGCAACATCCGCATAAATCTTGCCAGGTGCATCTGTCGTGCCGACAGTTCTCCTCTTCCGGAATAGTCCGTTCTGTACAGAGCGGTCGCACTGTCGACTATTAGTAGTGCGTATCTGAATAAAATAAAACAGCATTGATTAACTTAAAACTGACATTGAATTTGGCAACGTCCATCTACTTACCTAGATTCCACCATCATAGCAGAAGCCTGTAGAAGTAACTGACTCTGATGATCACTGTTGTAGGCACGCACGTAGGCAACGTTGTCCAAAATGTCCCCACCAGATAATCCATACCTGAGAATAATTTTACGTACATTTTTTACCGTCGAGGAAAATAAAATCAAAGTCGAATGATCAAACGAACACAGAAATACCTGTTGGCCATGGCTAGCAAACGCTCCGGTCAAAAAGTTCCTCCCATGTCTATGTACAGACATTTTCCTTCCCCACCACTATGGTCTATGGGCAACTGAATGAATGAATGAAAAAAATTTAAATATATTCTTTATCTAAAAATAAAATACAAAGTAGAATTTAAAAACTTGAAAGAATATTTCCACAACTGAAATCAACTTCTTTGCAATTATATTTCCCATTTTAATCTTAAAATTGGTGTTTCACAAAAATGGAACATAATATCACTCCTGCAACAGCTACTTTGAACGAATTAGAAAGTGTGTCTGACGGCAAGTTCCTTTCAGAAGATGTGAAATTTATTGCCAAGTTACTTTCAAAATTGTAAAGCAAGAATTCTCCAAGCATATGAAAAAAATTAAGCATGATATCTAAATTGATTCCAAGGCTAAAGAAAAATATTTCCATGCTCCACAGAGAACTCCAAAAGAAATATTCAATGAGAACCATTATTTGTGAATAAAACTATTTTGAATGATTTTGGAAAAGAATCTGGATAGAATAACTACAGATATTGATTTAAAGGATTTATAAAAAGTTCAGCAATGAGTTGCTTAACTATGATAACAGATGCACCACCAAATGTTACATGATAGTTAAAAATTACAGTAGACCCCCTTATAATGCGGTAGATACGTTCTGCTTTATAAGAATTTTGCGTTGTAGGAATCCGCATTATAGGAACCAGCGTTATAGGGGGGTCTACTGTATAAAATATCATAATGCTAATTTTGATGCTAAGGATGTTTTTATAAAAAAATTGTAAATGCTAATAACCAGTAAAATTGTCATTAAGTCTGGATATTGGAGATACACACGACCCTATTACCTACCCCATTCCGACCGTTAACCACCAAAATTTAATAGCATTGATCCCCCTAATACACAAACCTCCCTGAAAAATTTCAGAAATTTTTGACAAAAAAACCTGAAAGAGGGTGAACAAAAATCATGCATCCTCACACACAAATATCCATACAGAAAAAAAATCTCCAATTTTTTTTTGAATTCTTAACATTTCAAGGTGTCCTACATCCAAAAATTCAGGCTACCATTCAGGCTACCATGGGACCGTTCGGGAATCTGTGAAATCATAACTGTGATACATACCGACATCCTATCTGTCTCTTTTCTCCATTATCACCAGGCTATGAGTCACATAATTATAAAATGGAAAAACTATGACAGAAAAGTGACGAATCAAAAGTATCGTGAGTGCATATTATGATGTATGCATAGGCATACGTGGACTAGAGATATGGAGGAAAAAGAAAGGATAGAGGAAAGACAAGTGCTTAAAAAAGATAGGCAGGGTCAGACCCTCACAGGTGTGCGACGATTCTCGAATGAATAGGTGTACGTGTGCTGATCTTTGTAATTATAAATTGTGAATACAGTAGACCCCGCCTATAACGCTTCGATACGTTCCACGCTAACCGAAAATTATGTTGTAGGAACGATTAAATACATGAGCCAATCGCAGCCCGATAGGTGGGAACTTTACGGACTAAGGCTGTTTGAAAGGTTTTCTTGTATAAAATTAACCGATTCTAGACTAATTCGACTCAACATTTCCAAAACACGTATAATTTTTTGAAAATAATCTGTATAAACTATGCTATAANAATAACAAAATTATTATTATTATAAATTATTATATTATTATTAATAAAATAATAATAAGTATTATTTTTTAAATATTATAACAGTACATGAATGATAAATTACAATTACAAAAGATGGTGCAAGATCAAGAGAAGAGAAGAGAAGAGAAAATAAAAAAGAAACAAAACAAATATTTATTGTGACATTGTCTAAATGCCAAGCTGCGATTTTTAATCTACTTTAAATTAAATCTGTTTTACACGTATCGGATATTCATGCAAGCTTTATAAAGATATGTTATGAAATTTAAAGACATTATAATCAGTACGGCGATGCCTTCCGACAACACGGTTAATAAGTAAAGGCTATATTGGGTCGAACAGAAAGTTTTAATGTATTTTTAATAGCTGTGGTTATCTGAAATAAATGTGTGACTTAATTATAACAGTTGTGAAATTTAACACATTATTGTTGCTGATGTGAGATATTGTTTTATAATGTTTAGTTTAATTTAAACATTACTACAGTCTGTTACAAAAGTATAGGAACACTATAAATTTTGTTTTTTCAAAATTTATTTTATCAGGTTTTTTACAACTAATAAATCAGCATAAATGTCTTTTTGACATGTTACAAAAGTATAGGTACAGTACACCACTTAAAAGTCTCTTAGAAATTAAATGATTTAAAAAGAGAAAGCAGAGTTAAAATAAACCAGCAACAATGGGTGGGTCTGTAATGATTTGCTGTGGTTTTGGATGGGGAGGTAAAACTGATTTAGTATTTGTTGACAAAAATATGAACTCAGAGAAGTATCAAGAATTATTGTATAATAATATGATTACATTTGATGCATTAATCGGAGGTCATAAATGATAATTTCAACAAGATAATGCTTCCATTCATGCCTCAATGTCAACAAAAATTGGTTTAAAAAAGAAAATGTTAGATGTAATTGACTGGCCTTCACGTAGTCCAATCCCATGAAAATTTATGGGGGATTTTAGCAGCCATTGTTTATAAAAAAGGGAAACAATATGAATCTGTAAATCAATTGAAAATTGCAATAATGGATGCGTGGGATGAAATTAAGGATGAACAATTAAAAAAATTATAAACTCCATGCCTAACAGAATTTTTCAGGTAATTGTAGCCAAAGGGGATGAAATCAAATACTAAAAATGTTTAAAATACATTTTAAAATATTTTTATGTAATTTTAGAAAGTGTACATATACTTTTGTAACACATCAAAAAATGAATATTTGTGAAAAATAAATTTATGATGCTTTATGAAATGTAAAAAAACCTGATAAAATAATTAAAATAATGATAAATAATAATATTTCCAGTAATAATTTCAAATTGAAAAAACAAAATTTGTGGTGTTCCTACACTTTTGTAATGGACTGTACATTAAAAGTTGAGTGGTGTTGATTTACATTTGTTTTAATGTGCATGATCACACCNGATAAAATAATTAAAATAATGATAAATAATAATATTTCCAGTAATAATTTCAAATTGAAAAAACACAAAATTTGTGGTGTTCCTACACTTTTGTAATGGACTGTACATTAAAAGTTGAGTGGTGTTGATTTACATTTGTTTTAATGTGCATGATCACACCCACACTCAGACAAACATGACAACAATACAATTTAGAAAAGTTATAAATATGTGGATAGTCTGGAAGAGTCATGTGAAATTTTTATAATTCGTCTGAGATCAATGGAGTAAATTTGAAGTTGATTTGCCCCTGTACATCATACTTTTTCTGTTAGCAACAGAGTCCTTCCAGTCATTATCTACCTCCCTTTGGGAAAAATTTTTAAAATTTAAATAAGATGACTTCCTCTTTCTACCAGAAGTTTGTATGTAGTTAATCAGCGCCTCCTGCACCTAAGGTTCCATATCTGGTCTCTACTCTCATCTAACTCCATTCTCGAGATTAAGGAAGGAAAGACAAACGGATGGATGGACAGATGACAGTGGGAATTTATAGGTCTATAACTTTTTCAAATAGCAGCCCAAATAAATAAAGTAGTTTTTGTGAAACCCATTTGGAATTTGCAGCAAATTTTGTTTTATGGCATTGATCAACTCAAAACGGTTACTATGAAGTGGAGATTTTAGTACGGGAAATGGTAAAAAGTCACACGGTGCTGTATCGGATAAATATGGGAAGCTTGTGGAACCGTATTTCTTGAATTTTTGGCCAAAAATTCAACAAACACTCCAGAAGTCTCACCACACTCCCATTGTGGTATCTGCCATGGGCTTACCGGCAAAACACATCATCTTATTATTGTTACAAAACAGCATTTTATAAACTTACAATTTCAACGTCAAATATTAACAAATACAATAAATAAAAGAGACTGTATGTATATTTAACAATAAAGAACACAGAAACATACATACATACATACTAAAATAGCTGATTATAAATCTTTTTAAAACAAATTATAAATGGGACTAAAACAAACATTCAGTTATAATCAACTGGTTAAGATTGTTACTTTGAGTGAACCCACATCAATGACTCAGAGAGATATTGTCAAGGAGTGTGATGTGAGTTTAGGAGCTGTAAACAAGATTTTGAAGCAAAAAAGGGACACTGGGGTGAACAGAAAAGGAAAATGTGGAAGGAAAAGAAAGACAAAGCAAGGGATGAAGCTTTTTTAATATGGGAAAGTAAATTAAATTCTAGGAAAACCAGTCAAGAAATTCAACAAGACTTAGCACATGCTAGAGTTATTGTTCATGACTCCACCGTACACAAATGACTTATAGAAAGTGAAAGTAAAATGGTTAGACCTCAAAAGAAACAGTTATTGACTGCTGCCACGATGAAAAAACAATATGATTGGGCAAAAAAATGTGTGTACTGGACTGTTGAAGATTGGAGGAAAGTGTTGTTTTCAGATGAGAGCCATTTTTTGGTACAAGGACAGCGATCTTGTTACGTTAGAAAAAGTGACAACAAAAAACTTATGGCAGCTCATATTGATCAAGCAGTTAAACATCCATTAAAGATGTTCTGGGGCTGCTTTTCTTATAAAGGTACCATATCCCTTGTGCCGGTCGAAGGCACGATGAACTCTCAAAAAAACAGAGACTTGTTAAAACAAAGATTGGAAGTTGAACTAGGAAAAATTGATGCCAACGATCAAGCAGTATTTCAACAAGACTTGGCTCCTTGTCACGTTTCCAAGATCATGATTAAATATTTCGAAGACAAAAAGATATCATGTCTTAAATGGCCAGGAAATTCACCAGATTTTAAAAGTAAAAGCTAGACTTCATGAAATAGATTGCACAACAAATACAAAACTGATAGAGACTGTAATCCAGATATGGTTTTGAGACCAGCAAATAACAGAAAACTGTAAAAAACTTATTGATTCCATGCCAAAACGTGTTCAAGAGGTTATTAAAGCCAAGGGAG